ACTCTAGCTGCTTCTACTCAAGCAGAATTTGTGTCCACCAAATGTGAGCCCAGAAGCAGTTTGAGCCTCACTCTAGGCCCCCTGTGCCACCCAGTGGGGGCACCCTGGAGCCATGTGTGGTTTCTGTCATCTTCTGCTTTTCAAAGAGAGAACTGACTAGACAGTGGCAAAACAAACCTGGCTACCGCTGCCATTCTGTGTGGCCTGTGCTCACCATTTGATGACTGGGTAAGGCCAGGACTAGGCCCCGTTAGCTTGTGATCAGAGAGGAGCATCATGTGTTCCCTGGTGGACAGGACCAGTCAGACAATGCAGACTTTGGAGCAAAACACTTATTTGGAGCCAGAGCACATGGCTTCGAATTCTGCTTCTTACCACCTGCAGGCTGTGTGAAGGTGGGTGATGTGTTCCCCTCACTGAGCCTCACCTTCCTGATCTGTGGAATAGAACTGGGAGCAAATCCCTGATGCAGTCGTTACTGGGATTCAATCAGGTAGGTCATGTGAGGAGCTCTGCATGGGGTCTGGTTCACAATAAGCAGTAGTTACACCAGTCACTGTGGTTCTTTCTACTGTCTCAGGGAACTTTGGCAGAGGTGCTAGGCTCTTTGCTGCCCTCTGGTGGTGAGGCACAGAGGGCCTCCAGTGGAGGAAGTTGGGAGATGTTATTTTGAAAACAAGAAAATCCTTTTGGGTTTTAGTGTTTTCCTGATGGCTTCTGAGAATTTTCAGCCCATTTTTCAGAAAAAGGAGGAGAGGAAAACACCCCCCAGGGCTCTGAAATAAGACCAACTGTCATGATTCTCCGGTGCTTGTGCTCAAGGAACCTCTGTTTTACTTAATAATGGCCTTAAAGAGTAAGAGGAGTGGTGGGAATCATTTTGTATGCCAAAGACAAGCCTTAAGCTGTTTTCTTTATATTAATTTTTTTTTATAATTCTGAGGACCAAGCCCAAGGTCTCAAGCCTTGCTAGGCAAGTGGTGTACCACTGAGCTACACCCCAAGCCTAGTTTTAGATTTAATAAGGAAAGACGCAATTGGTATGCTGAGGTTGCTAAGAGCTACAGTAAGTGGTACCTCGTTTATAAATGAACCTTTATCAGAGGTTGTGCATATAGGAAAATCATAGTATATATAGGATTCGGTGCTTCAGATATCCACTGGGGGGTTTGGGAATGTATCCTCATGGATAAGGAGAGACCACTTAATTCCTAAGTGCCATTGTAGGTTCTGAGAGGTTCTTACAAAAAAAATATCACACACAGTCCCTGCCTTCTAAGAACACATCATGTTAAATGTTCAAATTAAAGCTGTTAAATTGTAGTGCAAGTCATGTAGCAATTCAAGGCTAAATGAATCAGCCAGATGGATATTAGAGTTGATATTGGAGAAAGTCCAGCTTTTTGGGCTTAAGACTTGTAAGTTGCACAGGGCTCATTGGGAAAGGGCCCCTGCTTCGGTTCATGTTCTATTGTTGCCATCTTGAAATTCTTAGTTTTTCTTTCTGTCACTTAAAAGCTTTTTTAAATTAAGACATAGTAATTATACATAGTCAGATGGTACTGTGTGATATTTCAATACATGTATACAGTTTGTGATGGTTGGATCAGAGTAATTAGCATATTCATCACTCAGACATTAATCATTTCTTTGTGTTGGAAACATTCAAAATCTTCTCTTCTAGCTACTTGAAATATACAATAAATTATTATTAACTGTAGATTTATAGCATTTAAACAGTGGCCTTTGCATCTTTCCTTTTGTACCAGGCCCTGCCAATTATATGGCAGTCATGACCTGAGGTCCAAGGTGACCAGGAGAAGCTGTCAGGTGGAGGGGAACATGGGGAGTGTTAGGCCAGGTGGAGGAGATGAGCTGAAGTTCAAGGAGGTGGTTGTGTGGTGTCAAGTACGGCACAGCACCGAATTCTGCTCAGGATGTGTTTTGGGAAGTCAGCGGCCATGGCACCTGGGTCTCCACTCAAGCCCACCTGCAGGGAGGTGGTGGTTGCCAGGGGTGAGGCTCGAGTGGACAGAGGAGTGCACTCCTCTTTCCTAGGATAGCCTGGGAGGCCATGACCATGACCAAAGGGCCTGTTTAGAAAGACTACCTCACCTTATTTTGCTACACTAGAATTACTGTCCTTTCTGGAATGTGCTGGGTGGACGCCTCACAGGGCTGTTGGGAAGCCTAGAGGAGAAAAACCACAGGATAAAGCTCTGTAACCCAAGAGAAAAGGGTTTCCTCCCTTGCTTAGCACAGTTTTGGGTGGTAGTGAGTCCTTGTTTGGTGTTTGGTGAAGTGCTGGTACTTGGAGCCCATCCCATCCTCAGTGGTCTGGCTGGAAGTAAGGTTCCAGGGCTTCCAGGGAGGCAAAGCCTGGTCTTTGTTTTCCAGGAACAGGCTCTGTCGGGAAAGGAGACACTTTGCAATTCTCTCCTACCTCTGCTCTTTGCTGGATTGGGCTCGAATTCCTCTACTTACCTTTACAAATGATTTAGCTTGTCTGGGCATCTACACAACAGTGCTCCCCTGAGGGAGAAGTGCCTGGGCAGTGCTGGCCCCCGAAGGAGGCTGTTAGAGTTATTGGTGGTGCAGTCTGGGAGTCTGCAGGGCAGAGAAGGGAGGAGCATCCTGGCCAGCAGGACCAGGGAGAGCGTGTGGGCACTAGACTCACCAGCAGGACGCAGAGTGCCCTGTAAGGGTGAGAGAGTGTGTGGTGTGTTTAGAATGAGAGGAAAGGCAACAGTGAGGCTAGACCTGGGAATGGTGTGAGTAGCCTTCACCCCATGCTGTCTGCTGACAAATGAAGGGATCCCTGCATTGGGAGGGGGTAGTAGGGCTCTGTCAACAGACTGCTTTATGCCAGGCTCTCCCCAGTGAGAACCTGTTGGTGCTGCTTTGGGCCCAAGCAGGGTTTGGGGCTCCTGGGAGAAGGGGTCTGGCCTCTACTGTCCCCTGTTCTGTTATATGCCATTCTGCTGGAGCTCTCCTGCTCTGTTCTGTCTGTTGGCCTCTGGCTTCCTGTACAGTCCACCTTCTTTCTCTGTAATGAAGAGAAAGGTGGAACCCATCCTGGGCCATAGACCCAGAATGGACTAAGTACTCTCTGTCTCTCAGTAGAAAGGCTCCCAGCTACTAGAGAGTAAGAGAAGTAAAAAAAGCCCTCTGTAACCTTGGTCAACTTTCTGAACCTCTCTGGTCGTCAGTCTTCTCAGGAATTCATGAGGGGTAACCTGGATGCTTGCATTAAAACCCCGAAGCAGAGCCAGCATGTCAGGACACCATCTGCAGAGGTGAAGGGGACATGAGTGACTGGCTCCTGGCTCCTAGTCTAGAGGCATGTCCCCTTGAGCAGTCCTGCTCGGGTGGGAAGACAGAGGGCCTGGCTGACTTGGGACACAGTGAGATACAGGGCTGTGGGGAGTGTGTGCAAAGTGACCTGGTCTTATGATTAGTAAAACATTTACCAGGAACTCACCAGGCCTTGGGGCTCTTTTTCACATACAGCCATCACTTTCAGTCTCCACTGGGTAGGCGTTGTTGTCATGTCCATCTGCAGAAGCAGTATCAGAGCCTTAGCATCTCCCAGCTGTGGCCCCCTGGCTCCCCTGGCTTCATAGCCTCTCCAATGGGCACTTCCTGCCTCTCCCCAAGTTTCAGTGGAGTCTTGGGGTCCTGGAGCCTAAAGCATCTTGACTGGCCCCATCTATGTGACCCTCCAGTCCCATATGCCCTCACCTGCCCATTTCCATCAACCTGCTGCACGTGTGAGAGGAAGGTCTGGCTTCCTGGCTTTGGAATGGACCAACAGCCCCAGACATTCTGCAGAGGTGATCATGTCAAGAGGCAGTTGGCCAGTTTTCTTTCCCAATCCATTTGTCCTTGTTTATTTAGGACATGGTAAACATTTTATTGTCCTCTCAGTTTAACGAAATAGAAAAGAAAAAGTCAGGAGTCTAGAATTTTGGTACATTTCAAATATATTTTGTCACTTTTCATTTTCGCCTTAGAAAGAATATGAAACCTGCGTGCAACACTAATGGTTTCTGACATTTATAGCATATAACACAGCAGTGCAATGTGGCCTCTACTGAAGGACAGCGTGGCGGGGTGCTCTGCAGAGGGTATGTACACAGCATGGTGAGATGCATGGTCACCTCAACTCCCCAAAGAGGACTGCACTTTTTCCCGATGGATTTCATGGAGAGTCACAAACATTGCTTTAGTACTGCATGTTCCGTTGTAGGGAAGGAAAGAAGCACTCTTGGAAGGTTTTCCCTTGTCAATAGAGTGGCTGTGGGTTGTACATGTATCTGTTATTTTTTACGCTTTCTCCTAAGGTTTTTGCTAACTCTTGGAAACTTCACTGTTGAAGTAAAGCATTGCCTACCAAGGTGGGGAACTTTTCAGAAAGCTTCAGATTGGAGAAAAGACCCAACACCTTCTTTAGTGTCACTTGCCCGGCCATCACAGATCTTGGAAATGTTTCTTAGAGGAAGGGGAAATGAACCCAGGAAGCATGTTTCTCTGGCAACCTAACTTGAGTTCCTCTAAGCACAGATGCAGAGAGACCCCTGCTCCCACCTGCATGGCGACAGGGGCCACTGCAGAGTCACACTGAGGCTGTGACTGCGCATAAGCCTGGGAGAGCCCGTGGCAGCTGTGCCGAGGCGCCAGGCCCTCTGAGCGGAGCTTCCCAAGCTAGGAAGGGAGCAGCGCTGCAGTGAAATGTCTCCACAACGCTCATTGTTCCTCCCAGGCGCTTATAAAGCTCAAATACAAAAAAGCATTTCTTTTAAAAAAGGAAAGGCATGAGTTTCCCCCTTTTCGGCAAAAAAAGCAGCCCATGAACAAGTCTGCAGCACAGAAGAGCTGCGCCTCACATCTGGAAGCCTTACGCACACAGCTATAAAATGTAAAAACTGACCCTGGGTAAAAAGTGCTTCATAACAATATATAATTTGTATCTTATGCCTGTGAGAAAGAAGGGGTTTTTATTTTAATTTGCAAAGTCCTTTGCTGAAGTCTCCCAACTGGTCTGGAGTTTTTCTATCAGAGATTTTTCATGCTATTCTTCGTAGACCCTGGGAAGAGAGAACACAGGTGTAAGTGGCTCAGGTTCTGATGTAGGTGGCTCACAGCTGCTGGTGGGGCTGCTCCATTCATCCCCCGATATCCCCAAGACTGTGGCTGGGAGTGGGAGGGACACCTCTGAGGACCTGTGTGCTTTTGTGCTACAAAAGCTCACACAAGTCTGGCTTTGTCCTTTTAATCAGCTTCCGCTGCTGTGGTCTTATTTCATCCCCCAAAGTCCTACAGAGCAAACCCCCTTTTCATGTGGGGAAACTGAGGCCCAAGAGACAGAGATGTGCCTGATGATTTTGACTGCTAGTGGGGTAACAGAATCCTCTTCAGCATGGGGGTGGTTCCTGTACCTCCTAGTTCCATTTCTCATTTCGGTCCCTTCTCTTAGAGAAAAGTAGTGGTGGGGGACTCCTCTCCCTTGACTTAGGTTTGTCTCCCAGAAAAATGCCACTTCTAGAAAACACCGCAGAGGAGTGTTTTCTAGACTGAGGAGGGGGGTTAGTGGGTCTGGGGCTGTGACAGAAGGTCCCATGCCCTGTGGTCACATCATCTCGACTGCATTGCCTCACTTTTTCCAGTTATGGGGCATTCAGGAGCCACCTTGCTCCTCTCCTCCCAAGCTGGCTCTATTTAGCCATTTTAACTCTTTCTAGTTCTGACCCATCGCCGCCTTAGGGCATATTTCACACTCAGATAGCCTATTGCTCCCTGTGCCTTGCTCTTGACTTCTGAGTGAGACCACCTAGCTATATATTGAAATAAAATGCTTGAGTTGCTGCTTCTGATGGCTCCCAGAAGCTCTGGTCTGAGGTGCTCTGAGTTCCCTGTCTAGCGATGCAGGCCTGGCCCTGCTATGTATTCTCCTTCCTCTGCCTTTGGGCTCAGCGTTCTTTTTCCGTCTCTGTCTGCAAAGAAGACTTTGCACAGCTCCATTATCTCCATTCTACATCCATTGAGACATTTTTAACCCTTCATAGGGAATAGGAGTATGGAAGGCAAGGGCAAACCCCCTTCTTCTCCCCAGGACACCTCATCATTCCGAGAAAGAGAGATGAACTCTTGATGTAGTGAAGTGACAGAAGGCCTGGTAAACTGAGAGGCTCTTGCTTTCATCCATGCAATTTATAAAAGTAAAAAAAAAAAAAATCCGGCTCTTCAAAGCTGCAACCCTGGATGGGGGGTGAAGGGGAGGGACAAGGTGAACAAAGGGACTATCTCCCACTAGTCTGAACAAGATGCTGTCAACCCCTCCTTGAGATGGCTGTGGGGTTCACCTCTTTTCACTTTTGATGACACAGGACCTAGAGGGTGACATAGCGTGGACAGAATAGGGCCTGCTTTTGCCACGTGAGCTGCCTACCCTGACCAGAAAGAGGGCTTCATTCCCATCAGATATATAAAAGAGTCTCCCACCTCATCACTTTCTATTTCAGGCAACTGCAAACCAGGCAATTTTGAAGGCAGTAAGAAAAGGCTCAGGTGCAGGGGCTGGGCCCAAGTGTCAGCTGTGGAGAGCTGGTTACAGGGCTGAGCTTGGGGGATTGGCACTAGGGCCAGGTGATAGAACAGGCAGTACAGGTACCCACTGTGGCCACATGTTACCCACTGGAGGCCTGGCTTTCTGCCCTGGCTTTGCCCTGAGCTCACAAGGCAGTCACACTCCCTCCTCACCCAGCCTTGGTTGAGCTGGCTTGGGCTCCTGGGGAGGTCATCTGAGTTTGTGTGTGTTTCCCTGGTCATGCCATGCAAGTAAAGGCGTAAGCAGGCTCTGTGTCTGAACAGTGGTGTACTCCAGGACAGGTTCACCTTCATGAGGGACAGAGGAGCTAAGAAGTGCCTCCCTTTCCATGGCCAGACCTAAGACCCCAGGGATCAGAGTTCAGAAGCCACCTTCTTGATTATGGGGAACAGAAGCCTGGGGAACACAGGGGTCTGGTCATCTCATTTCTGCTGCCCCCTTGGATAAGGGTGGCTCTGATTTTAAAGGGTCAAACCCAAGGTCCTTCTCATACCTGCTGGGGAAGGAATTTGTCAGATGTCTGGACAGTACAGGGCAAGGGCCACCTTGGAGAGGAGAATATGGTGTTGGCAGGGAGTCTTCCTCCTCATCTTGGGGGTATACTCACACTTCACCCCACAAGAGCCACAGGGGAAATGGCAGGTGCTCTCCTGGCCATTCTATAGCTCATGTAATTTAAATAAAAAGAGGAATTAAGACTATAATATGAAAGACTCACACGGACTTTTGGTTCACAAACGAATAAACAGCTGTCCAGAAGAACAACAGCCTACTTTAAGTGGTGAGTTACTTGTCCTTGAGGCCACATAAGCAACGTCTGGTCATCTGCTTGGTGTGGATATTGTGGTGGGGCTAGATGATCTGGTGTGAGGGGTCCCTTCCCACCCCAGGAGCTACAGCCAGCTTCAGCAAGAAGGACAAGAAGAGGCAGGCTTACCTACGCTTCTCGTTCCAGGCGTTGTACCACTTGATGAAGCGCTTGGTGCTCTGCAACTTGGGGTGCAGGCAGTGCTCCTGGCCCCGGTACCTAGATACGCTCTTGGTGGTGATGCTGAAACCAAGTGGAGGGGTGCAGGTTGAGGTGTCTGAGTGCCAGTGCTTTGTCTGGTCTGTTGGGTGGTCCTGGTCTGTCAGAGACATGGCCTCCTTCCTCCCTCAAGGTAGCATACCCAAGTCCTTATTCCCTGGCTGGTTCTTTGGAAGGTTCTGTTGTTGCCTTAATGTCTGACTCCAAGTTTTGGTCTAACCTGTATGGAGTGAGTGGTCTCGCTTTTCTCCTTGGAGCCTTCAGAGTCTGGGATAGTGTCCCCTACCCCCACCACACCCCCAACAGTGTGTTGTCCCTAGGTCTCAAGGTCTCTCTTGCAGGATAATCGTTAGGGTGCTCTTTCAGAGATGGAGAGGACCAATGCCAGCAATGTGCACCAGTCTGCCATTGGATTTGAGGAGCACCATGGTGGGGTTAACATATGCCCTGCAGATGCTGGTACTCTGACCCTCAAAATCCAGCTAACCTGACCCACTGCAGATTGTCTCAGGGATGGGGTTTGCTGACCCTCAAGCAAAATCTTGTCGGTCTTGAAGACCATGTTGATGCTTGGGTTGATGTCCCAGTTATTTCACCTTTGGGCAGAAGAACAAGACCTCCCTTTTCCACAGCCCGAATATCTCAGGTTCTCTCAGGCAATACTCCAGCGCACCATGGAGGCCCAGCTATGCTAGAGAAGCAGGGTGGCCTTGTAGAGAGAGTGCAGAGCCCCGGGTTTAAATTCTCCCTATTGCTCTGAATCTGTTTGCCCATCTGTAAAATGGGGACAGTAATAGGACCTACTTTTTAAGGTTATTGGGATGATTAAAGGAGACAGCACCTGATAGATGCCCAGTGAATACTGTTGTTAGTAATTAGTCATGGAAGATGAGACGGCCAAGGAAAAAGCAAGGCTTAGTGTGTGAGCCTGGAGGGAGAGATCAGGCTGCTGACTATCTAGCACTGCTGTGTTCCCTCAGTCAGAGGATGGCCAGAGTTAGGCGGAAGTTTCTGGGTGGGGGAGGAAGGATGGGGTTCAAGAATAAGGGGGTGCTTAGGATACTGGACAAGTACAAGGAAAGGGGCTGGCATACTACTTCATGAAGAGTCACAGGAGGTCGGTTGGAGGTGAGAGTGAAAAGAGCAGGAAGCAGGGAGAGAAACTACCAAAGGTAAACCCACAGGCAACCAAAGGTAAAGCATCAGGGCTCATGGGCCAAGTTTGAGAAGCAGGCAGTGTTGCCACAAAGAGTTCCCTAATCCTTAGGGAGAGGAAAATGGGAACTTGTCAGCAGAATGGAAGCAGAATGTTTCTGGGCAACCTGTTCTCTTCCCTGCTCTGTGCTTAGAGTTTTTGGGGGTTCCCCATACAATGGGCCTTCTGATAATGCAGGTGGTTGGCCCTGCCTCCATTGGAGTCCTCTATGAGGCTTGTAACTCCTCCCAGGCCTTGAGCATGAGGCCAGGCTAGAGTGAAATCCAGCTGTTCCTCCCCTGCCCCAGTATCTAGTCACCCTGTAGGAATTTAGCAACCCCCCCATGCCTATAATGCTGCTTTTGCACTCTGAGTGAGCGTCAGCGTGCAAGCTAAGCATCACAACTTCTGTAGGGCAGGGAGAACAGGAAAGGACCCATCAGTTTTCCCACCAAAGTGTTCAAATGCTGCATCAGAATTCTGAGATTATATAAATTAGGAGTGGAGGGCAGACTGGAGGATTCCTGACTCCAGCAACTATCAGAAATTCTGGATCCCGTAGCCCTCTCCTCAGCAGTTGTGAGGTGCTGAAGGTATCTGGTGAGAGCTCAGTGGACACAGACACAAATTGCCTTTCAAGAACCCTTCTGGTTGCAAGAACTTGAACTTACAAAGCAGACTGCTCTGCTACCCTCACCCCCCAGCCAAGATTTCTGGGTAACTCAGGGTGAGCTGGAAAACTTCCTCTTGTTCAGCCTCTGTGGCTGCAAACCTGCTTTGGCAAAAAAGTGCTGGCCCCTTGTCTGATGTAGAAAGTCTTAGGATCTTGGGAGTGGAGAGGAGCCCTTCCAGGGGGACTTTGGCAATGGGGAGAGGTTTAGGAGAGAGTGACTAGGTGCTGATCTTTTGAGGTCTCTATATATTTTCACAAGGTTACATAAAGCTTTTTCACTCACTTGCTTGGTTGTGGTTTCTCTTTATAACCAGAGAAGTTTAGCCAAGAGCAGGGCAAGCCTGATGGTGAGAATTCTTTTTCAGAGGCCACTATACCCCATACCATTTTTTCCCCCTGCAAGATCTCAGACACAGTTTGCAACATTCCCTGAAATTTTGAACCCCCAAGTTGGAAGTGCTGCGGGGGACTTGTGGCTCTTCTCCCAGCTTTTTTGACCCCTGGCCCACACGCAGAGGATTTGGGGCCACTTTATTTCTATACTGCAAGGCAAGAGACAGGGATGAGGAAGTTAATTTAGATGTCCATGAAGGAAGGCATTGGGGTCGGCTCAGGCCAGGTAGCTTTTCAATCCCCCTAACTTCAGCCTGGCTGTGCAGCCCCAGGAGGTGTGGGGTGTGGGGGGTCAGGGTGGGGGTGTGCCCTGCCCTCTGTAGACTCTGCATGAAGATCTTGGGCCCGGCAGGGCCACTCATTGGAAGGAACTTGCCCAGACTGAGAATAAAGTGTGTCCTCTTTCTGGGGGAGGGGAAGAGGGGCCAATGGCCCATGGCAAATATTTGGGAGCTGCTTTGCCAAGGGCTCTCTTCCTGGCCAAGAGTGTATTGATGGGAAAACCACGGCGCTGGACTCAAGTGGTTAATTGGGAAGGCAGAGGAGCAAGGAAACTCAGTGTTCTCTTGCTCTGCCCCAGTTTTGAAGACATTGCCGGCATCCCCACCAAGCAGGGCTCGTGGTGGCGGTGTCATGGCACATTAACCCAGCAGAGCACTTTCCACTGGGCCTCTCAGGTTCTCCCGCACCCATGAGTCCAGCTGCTGGGGGAAGAGCCAGCAACACTCCCACAATGAAATTCCTAGAAGCCCCTGGTTGAAAACATAAAAAAAGACTCTAAAGGGAAAAGGGGGACTAAAGATAAATGTCATTACATCTCTCTCCAGTGACAGGAAGGTACATTCAGACCCCTCAGGGTCGGAGGATGTCTAGTAGTTGATGTCTGGGTTCCCCAGGACCACGGGAACAGTTTGGGTGTGAGTTCTGTGGGATTTCAGCCTCGGTGTTCTAAATTGGCACACCCAGCATCATTTAACCCTGGATTGCTCTAGCACCCTGGGCAGTCCACAGTGCAAGGCCACATATTTGAATCCTAGCAAGTGCGCACTCCTAACGCTGTTTGCCGAGCGCGGGGCAGAGACCCCTCTACCCTCCGCCCTCCTCACAGACTGATGAGGCCAGCCTTCTAAAGGACGTGCTGGGCAAATTACAAAAGCTTCACCAAGGCCTTGGCAAAGGCGGAGGGAAAGGTTTGTTAATCCGATTCAGCCCCAGGCTGTGCCCCAGCACTGCACACGTCACGGTGGGGAGCAAAACTCACATAACCATCTTCTCCTCGCAGTGCGGGTACTTTGGCTTCATTTCCAGCTTCTTCACGTCGCTGTAGCGGATTTTGGGCCCCTTCCGGGAGCACTTGCATTTGGATCCTGCGGGAGAGAGCGCGGGTGCTGCTCAATTGCGCAAGGGGTCTCTTGCTCCACAATCGTCCTAGGTGTCCACCCAGACCATCCCCACCCTGGGATCCCAGGATACCTAGTAGTTGATGTCTGGGTTCCCTGGGACTGACCCGGACGGCGATAAGGGGACCTCTCTGCACTCACCGTCCACGCGCCCGGCGCATAGCGCCAGGAGCAGCAGGAGCAGCGCAGCCGCCAGGAGCCTCATGCTGGCCGGAGGGGCGCAGCGCGGAGCAGGGACGCTAGGAGGGCGCCGGCGGGTGCGTGGAGCGGCCCGGAGACGCCGCCGGGCTCGGCTGTCTCGGCTCAGAGCACGCCTCTGGGCTGGGCTCTTTCCAGCTGCGCCCGTCGGTGGGTATCCCGAGCTGTCTGTCGCTGCACGCTGCGCTTTGCGCTCAACGATCTCTCCTCAGCCTCCCTCCGCCCGCCCTGGCCTCTTTTAAATTCGCTCCTGCCCTCGCAGCGAGCGAGCTCATTAATATGCAGAACCACTCGGTGACTCACTGAGATTTCTCAATGTGGTGGGGGGAGGAGACCTTCCCAGCCCGCCCCAGGACCCGGTCGCGATCGCAGCAGCGCACACTTGGAGCCACGCGCACACACGCACACTCACATCCGCTATCCTCTTGCTAACTCGCTCGCACAAGCTCTCCTTCGCACACTTTGCACACCCAGACCACAGCTTGCACACATCCAGTGCAGCTGCTCTGTCTGGGAAGGCCGGACCGTGAAGAGGCTGCTGAAGGGCACTGTTTTTTTGATTCACGTGGATCCCTCTCTAGCCATACAGGCCTATTGTTTCCAGCTGATGGGAGACCCAGGCCTGGGCCCAGATGCTTGGGGGAAGACCTAGAGGGTTTTCCAGGCAGTTGCTAAGTGTGAGTGTCAGCAGGCCTTACCCCTAGGGTGAGGGCAGTCCCTGTTGGGCCAGCAGCTCTGGTGTCCAGAACACAAAGCCAGGTCTTTACAGGGACTTGTCATAGATTGTACAGGAGCAAAGCCAATGGCTGCTGTCCCTGAACTGACTCAAAGAGAGTATGGGGGTGGTTTTGGGCAGTCCCAGAGGAAGGCTTCCTAAAGTAGGGTCTGTAGCCTAGTGGCCCTGTGGCTGGGGGCTGAGGGAACCAGGAGGACTCCCTGCTGTCACATTCTTCTTCAAAGCCAGGCAGAGGCCAAGTAGGAGCCATGACAGTGGTAAATACTTGGATGAGGGCCCTCCCATGTTCCAGACATTGCATCAAGCTTTGGGGTTAGTGGTATGGGACCAGCCACGGTGGCAAAAATTCCGACCACACTACTTACCCACACAGTGACTTCAACACTCAAAGGCCTCTTTTCATGTGTAGGTCATCACAGAGAGGCTGTGAAAAGTACATAAGGTCATAAAGTACTTAGCAGGATGCCTGACACACAGTGCCAGGAAATGGTACTTTTTGCCATCATTAGTATACAACACACACACACACACACACACACACACACACACACATGCACACACACACGCAAATTTTGAGTCAGCCAACTCCCCTCCAAGTTGGTACTTTTAATTTATTTGACAGGTGCAGAAACAGGAGAAGTTCAGAGAGAAGAACCAGCTTGCTCAAGGTCATATAGCCAGGAAACGGGTCTAAGTTAGGAGATGCCCCTGGGTACGTGGCTGCAGAACTGGGCCTCATGTTCCCGGGCCACTCTGCTGCCTTTGGGCCTATCGCCCTGCAGGTCTGTTGATGAGCTCTGGGACAGAGCATCTCAGGCTCTGGAGGGAAGGGGGAGGACTTGTCTCCCAGGCCAGAGCCCCAATGCTGTGCTGTCAGCCTGACAGCTCTCCGGGGGTCTAAGTGCCCAGAGGGGCTTCTGGATGGGAGGGGACAATTTGCAGGGGCAGAGTAGGAAGAATCTATGCTCTCTGTTCCCAGCTGGATGGTGTTTGCTGCCTCTAGAGGAATTTGAGCCCTGAAGAACAAGCAGAGTCCATGTCCACAGTTGCATCTGTCCTTAAAGCAGGCTGGACATTTCATTCAGCAGAAGATGAGTACACGGGAATGATTTTTTGGAGTGATTTATGTTGACTTTTTTAAAACATAGAATTAGCTTTTCTTAATATGAAACAGTGCAGTGTTGTTAAAGAACAGCAACAAAAACCCATAAAAACCAAGCAGTTCCAACTACACTGAGGTCTGTATGAAGACGCTAGTGGTGGTGTCGTTCCAAACCCTTGTCTCTTGGCTTTGCCTACATGTGCACAAGTAAGAGCCAGTTGTATATTCTGTTCCACAATCTGCTTGTTGTTCCTACCAATATAGCATGGTTATCAGTCCACCTGGCTAGTCATGCTTCAACCATATCTCTTTTATGGCATCATTTGGAGCCGTGTAAGATAATGACTATGAGGCTGCTATCTGGACTCAGACTGCCTGTGTGTGATTCTGAGCAACCAGCTGTGTGTCTTTGGGCAAATGATTTTTTTAGGTCTCTATTTTCTCATCTGTGAGATGGGATGCTAATGGCACCTCCAGCCGAGGGGGAATTAAATGAGATGATACGTGTCAAGCTTTTAAGAGTAAGTGCTCAAAGTTCTGGCTAATGTTAACATCATTGTACAGATGTGCCCCAATTAATTGAACTGATTACTCCCTGCTGGATATTTGGATTGTTTTCAACTGCTCTTGTAAGCAGTGCTAGGTAACAAATACCCTTGATGCTTAATTTGGGAATAGCTCCTTAAAAACTGGATTAAGTCTTTCTTAGAATCATTGGGCCATGAACATGCCCATTTGAAGGTTCTTAATACAATGGCCAAAATTCCCTTTAAAAAACAGTGCACTTTATCCTGCAGAAGGAATTTTTTTAACTACCAAGCTTTCTTGGAGCCCGCAAAACATTATATTTTATTAATGAGATTTTATTTCTAACATACTAGTTTCACTAATCTTGAAGTAATCAACATTGATTACTTCAGAGACATCTAACAGCTCCAGGGATCATGGGCACAGAGCTTTTAAGGTTCTAAAAACATGGACAAATGGTCCCCAGCTCACTGGCTTAGACCAGAGGTCAGATTGCTAACTTGTGGCCCCCTGTTTTACACTCTTGTCTATTTATGTTGATCATTGGTTTGTAAAATACAATGGCGTGTGCCTTGTCACACAGATGCCCCATCTGAGTGAGCTCTCCTAGAGCCAGGGATACAGGAAAGGATGTGATTCCCTTTTCCTAGCAGGTCTATGGGTGATGCTGTATCACTGGGCAAGGAGGGGGCTTGATCTCTGACATACTTGTAGGGCACAGACTCTCTACTGGCCTCAAGGCTGAGAGGGAAGGTACTGGGGGGTCTTTGGATAGGTATGGTGGCAGAGTTAAGTGGGCATGGGGGAGGCAATTCTTTGTATAGTAGCTCTGCCTACTTCAAGGAGGTTCTCTGGGCTACAGTGTAGGGCAACACACATGGCCTGCCTCCTGGAGGGCAGCCTGCTCTCTCTCTCTCTGGCTCTCTCTCTCTGTCTCTCTGGCTCTCTCTCTCTCTCTCTCTCTCTCTCTGTCTCTGTCTCTGTGTGTGTGTGTGTGTGTGTGTGTACACATCCAAGTGGTTGCAGTCATGCCAGGTTCTACAGGACAGTTCTATGGGAGACACAGGTGTACAGGCACAGAGGAGGGAGGAAGCAGAAGCAGCACCCATTCAATGAGGGAGTAGACACTTGGCCGAGCCCCCCTCTCCCCCGGTTTCACTCACTGAACACCTGCTGTGGGCCAGGCTGTGCACAAGGTGCTAAGGACTTAAACTGCAAGGAGAGGCATGTGTGGGGAAGGTGGGCGTCAACCACAGCCATAGGTACAAACCTGGAAGTCCTGCAGAGCTAGGATCCATGAGGAAGCTGGTGCCATAGGACTGAGCAGGAGATCTGGCTAGGCAGAGGTGGGGACTGAAGGATGAGGGGTCCACCAGGCAACCATGGAAAGAGGCCATTTCTGCCCTTTACTGTCCCTGCTGTTCACACGACCATCTCCTGTGGGGACTCCCCTACTCCAAGCCCTTCCTTGAAAGTCCCCAGCAGGGCCTGCCCCTCATGGCCAGCATCTGCCATCCTCCCCATTGACTGAGCTCAGCCAGTGTTTCATCCCTCAGGCAGGTAGGCAGGCAGGATCTTTGTTTGGCCCCTCTGCCCAGTGCTCCTCCCCAATCCTCACTGAGCCCATGTCCACTCCTCAGATCCACCCTCTCTAGCAGCCCTGACAGCAGGCACTCTCGATGCCTTGATCCACCTGACTTGCTTCACTTGAAACAACGTCAGATCATGCTACCTCAAGTTTATTTGGGGGCTTATTGAGGGGAATCTGGGTCTGCAGAGCCCACAGCCATGCTTGGCATGCAGCAGGGACTCGTTTCTTATCTAAATAGAAGCGTGTTTCACGCAACAGCCCAGGGCTGTGAGAGAGCAGTGCTGAATTTAGGCTGTGCAAATGAAGAGGTCTGTGTGACAATGTGTGTGTGTGCTTGTGGAGAAAAGAAAGGGGAGATCTAGGTAGGCTGCAGTTTCCCCGGAAGCTGGTTCTTCCTCAGGGCATTTGCTTTAGCATGACAGTGGCTGGGACGCAGGCAGCTGGGTACACCTCAAAGTGTTGAGGGAGGTGAGGCTTCACTGGTTATGGCTGCTTTCCTGCCCTGGGGTGGGGAGGGGGCGGGAGACAGACAGTTTCTCTCCCATCTTTACCCCTAATTCTCTCTGTGACTGACCTTCTTCTCAGAAGGGGAGTCCTTCATATGTTCCTGATGGGACAGGACTCCTAGAGTCCAGTGCTGGTAGTTGCTGAGGCCCAGAACAGGGCAAGATGTCACATGTGATCACTAACATGTCTTGCCCCAGATGCTAACTCTAGGGTGCAATCCTGGGCTCTGGCAACCTGTCTGGCCCCATGATATGGCAGGTCCTCCAAAATACCTGCTTCCAGTGGGTTGTGTGACTGCCAGCTCTGAGTCCAAGCCTGGTGAGCACCCCTCACTCACCCATCCTTGTGCCTGGAGGTCCATGGGCCTCTTTCTGAGTGTTGCCCAGTCTGTGGAACCCCAGAAAGCTGTGTGCCTCTTCTGCTGGTCTCCTCTAGCTATAGTTCTGCTCTAGCCACAGTCCTGGGTAGTGACCCCCATCCCAGGACCTTGCTGTGAGGTGGATGGGGCTAAGGGCAGAGGCTGTCCAGGACAACTTCTGGTTTTGTTCTTTACATTGGGAATAGTTAGGGATTCTGAGCAACGTAAGCCTGGAGGAAGTGACAGAGGATACAAGCCAGGTGGTATTGAGCTAGGCTCAGGCAGCCCTGTGGCAGAAGACGGCCCCTTCCACTCACATGGGTAATGGGAGGCACTGCAAGAACTCCCTCAAACATGGAGAAAGTGCTGGCAGCCAGTCAGGCAGACCAA